AATAAATAAAATAAAAAAGTAAGTAGTAATTCCAAAAAGTGTATATGCATGTTTATGAGAGTATTACATTGTTTATTTCCTGTGGCCTGTACTGAAATTAACAGATGAGGAAATTGTCTAGATTCGTCTACATGGATTTGCTGCCTCTGTAGAGTGTTTCAAATCAATCACTTAGGCAGCATCCTATATATGACATGGATCTTCATATGGGATGGCAGCAGGTAGAGAGGCAGCTCACTAGCTCTTGAAAGAGTGTTTAAATGCTTTTTAAATAGTTGACAGGGGGCCTTGTGATGTAAATTTGATGTCGGCACACCGTGTAAGGAAGAGAGCAACGAGGAAACAGGAATGGCAAAGGGTTAATGGAAGCGCGCATGGAGACTCCCTGTGGTCCTGGAGAGCACTTCCTGTGTAGCCCACAGGCAAGAGATGAAGAAAAAGCGTTAACCGTTCTCCCAGCCTGTCACATGGGATCTGCCTCATTTACAGCCATGTTACATCGTTCCTAAAAATGACACGAACCAAAGAGCAGAAAAGAGGAACAAAGAACCTGAGATGGAGAGTGATAAAAGGAAAGGTGAGGTGCGTATGGGAGTTTTAAGCATGTTTTATATAGTGTGCGACTGCCGAGAGTGCGGGAAACGGATCTCTCTTGGGCTCTTTAAGGATAATAGGACCATCTTCAACCTGCCACGTTTCCTCTTCACACATACTGTTTCATCGACTCATACAGTCACTCTCTCTCTCTCACTCTTTTCTCTTTCTCTCTAATAGGCCAATCTGTCCTTCCCCTGCTCGGCCGCCCGGACTGCTCTTTGAGTCGCAAGTAGTTTTGATGAGATTCGCCATAGTCAGGCCACTGACCCTGAACTGATCTGAGACACACTCTAGTTCACTGGTCATTTCCCGGCCTGTACAGGGAAAAGGTGACAGGGGCCGATCTGTCTGCTTCATGACCAATGCGGGACAATACACAACCCTCACCTTATAACCATGGACTTCAATCTGTAGCTAATGGTGAGGCAAAGGTTAATTGATCCACAGCTGGGATTGCAGCTCCGTCAGCAGAGGAGAACTGTGCCAATAAATGATCCTAAGCAAGCCATTTGTCATCATTTATAAAAGGTCAAAATGTCCCTCCTTCCTCTCAGGGTGGATAACTAAATAAAATAGCCTTTTCTTTTTCAAATAAGTTATGTGTTTTAAGTTAAAATCCCTTCAGTAGACCTTGACCTCTTGGCTGATTGATCAGTATGCATGTGTGATTGTGCCGCAATCAACATTTCTTGAGAAAGGCGTTGAAGGCAATGGCCCATAGGGGGAGCTGTGTGATATGATACTGACCGTATGGTGATTTATTCTCTTACAGAGAAAGCATTGAAGACAGACAGGGAGGGGAGTAGAGGGGGGTAGTCTGACATTTCAAGTTCAATGGCCGCTACAGGCGAAAAAAATGTCATAATACTCAGCCTAAGGTATCTGTCAAAGTCAAGAATAGTTTTCCGAAAGGTGGAGAAAGTTACGCTATAATCTGTTCATTAGCTCAACACCCTCTCTCCATATATTGTTCCTAACTCTATTTTGTGACCACGCGTATACCCACATATTGTTTCAATTGGCCATCTTACATAAATATACACACACATATTTCCATACAATACCAAAAACTTTGCTGCCAGTTGTGAAACTTGATTTATGATTAAATTCTGCGATCTCTATGTAGGCTACAGAAAGTAAAGCCCAATACACTGCAGATGATGACAACTATTGACGTGTATGCTATGACGCACATTAGGCTACTATAGAAGAATAGAACATCATCAGCATGCTAGAGTGGTAAACAAAAAGAATCACACTTTAGCAGTTGTAGTTTTTATGTGTGCTGGAAGCGGTGAAAAAGGAAGTGATAAGAGCTTGAGGTAAGCAGTTTTATGCTTTAGCGCCATGTCGCGTTGATTTCATGTCGCATTTTTATTGGCTGGTCAGTAAATGTGGGTTTTAGCAGCAAACACACTGTGCGATGATATAAAAACACAGTCGGTTATGTCTGTGAAGGTAAACAGCTGGGAAAGAATTTGCATGGCTATATTAGATCTGTGTATTAAGCAGTGGTGGGCCGTCAGGGCCAGCAAAGCCTTCTCTGCTGGCCTAAACAAATTTAGTTTTAATATATTTTTCCATGAATGTGTATTAAATTATTTTCAATAGTCTATTCTCTTAATTTCATAGCATTTCTATTCTGCTTCCAGCAGTGTATGTTTATATTAGAGCTTTTATCCAATCATATTTCAGCAATCGTGTTGCCAGGGTCAAAGAAATCTGCCTTAAGGCCTTCAGAATCAACAGTGTAGGTGTCTGTTAGCTTAAATCAATGGCAATGAAACCGTTGCTTTAACCAATCAGATTTCGAGCTGGCAGCACCAGGGCCATCTAGCTGGCTAACGATAACGTCAGAATTTTCTCGTCCTTTGATTGGATGGTCAGCATACTAGCTAGCAAACAGCATCACTGTAAATCATTTTATTAAAACTTAGTAAAACTTTTATTACTGTTTCTCAGGTTTAGATTTTCAGTGCATTTTGAAAAAATATTTGCCTACTACTATATTTAGTAAATCTAAAAACAGTAGTCCTAATGACTGCGAAAAACAACCACACACCTCCTCGGCACCGACTCTGTGAAAAACTCGTGAAGATGAAAAACCACTATGTATGGTAGGCTAATTTTCATTTTTGACTCCTTTATCACTTGATGCGTTGTATTCTGATGCTATTTGTGCGATATAAAGCCAGGTTTAAGTTTCCGTAAGAATATCTCAGTTTCCCGAGTGGAGCTGTATTAAGCGGTCTTTTCCTCCGGCCGCAGGAGGCAGACCAGCGGGGAGATGAGAGTCACAGAGGTACGTTAAAACACATCTATACACTTTTCTTCATCGTCTTGTATGAATTATTTTAATGTTACTTGCTCACTTTCCTAGTAAAGCTGTGCTAACCAGTATTTTCCTCCCGCAGTGCTCTGGCAGACTGGCGGGGAGACTCGTGAAGATGAAATAAAGCAGTAAGAGAACATTCAATTGTTATTTCAACTTTAAAACAAATGTAATCACCTTATTTGTTTTATACCAATGCTATCTGTACGGTATAAATGCGTCTGGGTGAATAAATGTCTGTAAGAACATGGGATGGACTGTATTTGTGTCATTTTGTTAGGTTAATGCTTCAGCTACAGATGATGTGTTGCGCAATTGTTAATTGAGTTTCTTTCTTTAGTAATAGCATTTCATTCTCGCTACATAAGATACCTGTCTGTTATGTAGTGCGCTGTTATACTGCATTACTGTGTAATATTTATGGTTTCTATAGCCGTGACATCATTATGATGGTATGAAGAGATGGATTAATTAATGTAGGACGCCACTGAAGGGCTAGGTGTAAAATGCACGGCCCGCCACTGGTATTAAGTGACAGCAGCGTAATGTACAGTATATGCTGTCTATGCTGTTAATATGACCCAGACAATAAAATAAAAACAGAAAATCTCAGTCAAAAGAAAAGTGTATGTCAACAGTCGTGGGCGGGGCCTGTAAAGTGTGATGTCACATTTTACGGATTGTTCTGAGAGACTGCTTATGATTTATGGATATTAAAAAGAAAAAAAAACACATTCATGTTGAAACAACATGTAAACGTGAATTTTGGTGCCCTTTACACAATATTTACAATATTTAAAAATGAGGAGAATGAATGACTAAATTAATAAACAAACTAATAAATAAATAAGATATATAATGAATACATATGCTGTTATTCCTCAATGCAGTATTTACAATATTTAAAAATGCAGGAGAGGACTTCAGAGTGGTGTTACAGCAGACGTTACTGTTCCATCTTAGAAACAGAGCCAGTGGGGAGATAGTGAGAGAGAGAGAGACTTGACTTTTAACAATCTCTTTATTTACCACTAATTTTAGATAAACATTATTGAAATATTTAAATAAAATAAAATGGAATAATATAAAACATTTAAATTAATAAATGTACACATCAGAAACAACAGTTTTACAATATTTCATCACTCAGACAGAAATTTGCAAGCAAACATCATAATCAATTTCACAAATACATTGATTTATACCCCATTTAGATCTAAAACTATCCAAGTCATCAATCAACATATAATACGCATGCCATACCCTGTGGTCTGTGTGGGTCCTAATGCCCCAGTATAGTGATGGGGACACTATACTGTCAAAAAGCACCGTCCTTCGGATGAGACGTTAAACTGAGGTCCTGACTCTCTGACTCTGTGGTCACAAAAAATCCCATAGCACTTCTCGTAAAGAGTAGGGGTGTAACCCCAGAATCCTGGCCAAATTGCCCCCACTGGCCCTTGTCAATCATGGCCTCCTAATAATTCCCATCCACTTGATTGGCTCTATGACTCTCTCTCCTCTCCACCTGTAGCTAGTGTGTGGTGAGCACACTGGCGCCGTTGTCCTGTGGCTGCCGTAGCATCATCCAAGTGGATGCTGCACACTGGTGGTGGTTGAGGAGAGACCCCCCACATGATTGTAAAGCGCTTTGGGTGTACAGCAATGCACAATAAAGCGCTATACAAATACATAATTCACTCATTCATTCTCTATATTAATACGGAATTGTATTAATCCCCTAAACACCAAAATAACATCAGTCAAACCCGAGCCAAGTAGTTTTCTTTTACGTGACAGCCAAATAGCAGTTTTGCTTGCCCAAATATAACATTTTATAAAACATGAGCTTGCATTTAGCTCCTGCTGCATTTAGGCCCATAAATAAAAAGCATAGGCGTACAAACCTGCCCCAGAGTTTGACAGTATCCTTCTAGTTGATGAAAAAACAGTTGTAGTCTAAAACAATTAAGAAATAAGTGAAACACTGTTTCTTGTACCCCACAAAAAGGACACTCCTCCCCTACCTGTGGATCAATGTGTGCTCTGTGTCTGTTTGTGGCTATTATACCATGCACTACCCTCCACTGAAGGTCTCCAGACCTTTTCTCAACAGGAAGTTTGTACAGGGTCCTCCAGCAGCCTTTAGGGGAAACGCCTGAGCCAAAAATATCCTGCCACTTGGATTCTCTCAGGTTTTCAAGCATGTGGAAATGTGCCACTTTAACACACAGTACATATAAAGCCGTATTTCCTGTATCACCGAAAAAACTAGGCTGAGATAATCCGAAAGAGAGCAATCCACCCTCTGTTTCCTGCCACGCTGCTGTGTCTGCTGAAATAGTCAGCGCCGGGAATGCAGAAGTATCCACGTCCAAAGCCTCTAAATCCAATCTATAGTCCACTGGTAAAAACGTACGTGTTTGAGTTAACAGTCTTCTCTGCCACTCAAACTGACCTCATGCCCAGTTTTAAGGCCAAAGCCTCAGCAGAGATCCATCCTCCCTCATGAATTAAATGTCCAATTTTTGTGATCTTTGTAGACCACAAAGCTTTTCTGAGAGAATCGGATTTAAAAATATCCAGGTCCATTACAGAGTTGAAGAGCAATGGTTCCTCCCTCAGCCAGAGTCTCTGTACACCATTGACTTCTCTTGAGAACTTAAAATGTTACCACGCTCTTAACACTGACCTGTAAAAGGATGTTAAACCAGTCAGATCCAGCTTATTAATGTTCATTAGAAACAGGTGACGATCCAGCCCCATACTGCCTGCTCTCCTCAGAAGAGCACAGGCTGTACCAGTCCAGCTTACATCATCCCTGTAAAGCAGTCTCTGAGCTGTCTGAAGTCTAAAGGCTTCAACTCTGGATCCGATGTCGACAAGTCCTTGTCCTCCTTCCTGAATGGGCAAGTATAGACCTGGTGCCCTCAGCCAGTGCTGCTCTGACCAGAAAAAGTCCACCATCTGCTTCTGAATCCTTACCACCAGGTCCTTCGGAGGCTCTAAAATCATCATTTTATGCCAGAGGGATGAGGCCACCAAGTTATTACTGATCAGGACTCTCCCCCTGTAGGACAGCTGGGGTAGCAACCATTTCCAGTGAGACAACCTTGCACACACTTTCTCCACAAGGCCCTCCAAGTTTTGTCTCTTAAATTAATCTGTGCCTAAAAAAACCCCTAGATATTTGAAACCCGTTCTTCCCCACTGCAAACCACCCGGAAGCACAGGACCATTAGAATTCTGACCACACCACAGAGCATTGCTTTTACTCCAGTTCACCTTAGCTGAGGATGCTTTACCATAATGTTCGGTAACACTTTAGAATAATGGTCTGTTGTTAACAAGTATCTATGCAGGAAGTAATAGGTAGTACTACATTAACACTTAACTTAATACTATTTATTAATAGAGAAGCAAGATTAACTAAGTCAAGTCAAGTCTGCTTTATTGTCAATTCTTCCACATGTACAGCACATACACACAGAGAATTGAAATTGCGTTACTCTCAGACCCTTGGTGCATACATATAACATAAATACAGATAGGTACAGATTAAATACAAAATACAACTATACAAATATACAAATAAGGTAAAATGTAAAAAATATATACATAAAGCACAAGGCATATGGCAGAAAAATATCCTCATTGAGAACTACTTGTGAACTATCACCAGTTAATAAAGAATAACCAATTAATTACTAATCACAACAGTAACATCTTAAAAGTGAACAATTGGGTTCTTTGTGGAAACTAATTTATGAATTTGATATCCCCCAAATAAATATTAGTTTCCACAAAGAACCCAATTGTTCACTTTTAAATCGTTACTGTTGTGATTAGCAATTAATTGGTTATTCTTTATTAATTGGTCATAGTTCGCAAGTAGTTCTCAATGAGGATATATATTTTTTAGTAATTATCAAATGTCTAATAAGGAACTACTTTTGTCCTAAATTTGCTACTACTTACTGCTTAGTTAATCTTGCTTCTCTATTAGTTAATAGTATTAAGTTAAGTGTTAATGTAGTACTACCTATTACTTCCTGCATAGATACTTGTTAACAACGGACCATTATTCTAAAGTGTTACCAATGTTCTAGACCGTCTTTTAAGTAGTGAACATCAGCATGACCTAATCATCAGCATATGCAGAAATCTAAATAGGCTCTTGAAAATCTAGTTCAGCAACCCTTAAACCTGTTAACTGGCTTCTTAGTTTACATAACAGTGGCTCAATGACTATGCTGTAGAGTTGACCTGAAAGAGGACAACCTTGCCTAATATCTCTGTATTAACAGGAACACTGAGGCCACCAACCATTTTTATCATACATGTGGCCTGATTATAGAGAAGCTTAATCATAAAAATCAATTTGTCTCCAAAACCAAAAGCCTTTAACGTTTCAAAAAGAAAATTGTGGTCAACTCAGTCAAAAGCCTTTTCTTGGTCTAATGACAGAAAGCCAAGGTTAATATTATTGTTGAGAGCAAAGTCATAAATATCTTGCACTAAATGTAAATGATCTAAAATAGATCTTCCTTTTACACAGTATGATTGATCTTTATGAATGATTGTATGTAACACATTATTTAGTCTATTTGAAAAACATTTAGACAAAATTTTATATTCGGAACACAAAATTGCTACCGGCCTCCAGTTTTTAAAGAGGGTTAAATCTCCCTTTTTTGGTAACAGAGTCAAGACAGCCCACTGACAACTCACAGGGAGAACACCCTTACTGATGCATTCTTTGAGCACTTCAAAATAATCAGGTCCTAATATAGTCCAAAATTTCTTTTAAAAAATCAGAAGACTATCCATCTATCCCTAATGCTCTTCCTGAAGAGAGACCCTTTACAGCAGCAGTAACCTCTTCAAACTTAAGATCAGCCTCAAAAAGTTATGAAAGTTATGCATTGAAGTTAAAGTAGGAATACCCTGTAGCAGTTCATTTCTGCTTTGCTCATTAATGGCTTCAGCAGTAAATAAATTAGAATAAAAATTCACAGCGAGCCTGCGCATCACCACAGGATCCGAAGTATCTTGACCATCATTGTCCTTTTAAACGAATATCAGTTTTCCTTGTCCTGCTTTACGCTCCAGGTTAAAAAAATTAGATGTCGGACCATCCATGTCTTTTATTGTTAAAAAACGACTCCTTACAAGAGCCCCTTTAACTTTTTCATTTAAAATAAAACTCAGTTGATTCTTTTTCTCAGTCCACAGTTCTTGTAGGTTTACAGCATCATTGACAGTCATACTCTTCCCAATGTCATTTACTTCATTTTCCAGCAACTCTAATGTCTTTTTTAAAACAAAAGAAGAATGGGTTCATATTGCTGACAGAATGTTCTTATATGCACTTTACCGATATCCCACCATTGGATAGCACTTTCGTATAGTCACGTTTCACTCTTCCAAGTTTCCCAGAAGCATTTAAAGTTCTCACAGAAATGTTTATCCTCCAATAGCTTATTGTTAAAATGCCAGTAGTAGCTCTTGTGAATCCTGTTCACCAATGTACACTCAACTGTGATGAATTTATGGTCGGACAAAGATGTAGGAATGATAGCTGTATGCACCACCCCATTTTTCACATTATGCGATGCATAAAACCTGTCTAACCGTGCACCAAAAACCCTACCATTATTAATTTTCACCCAAGTGTACTGCTTCGTTAAAAAAATTGTGATCTCTCTACACATCTGAACAAATTAGATTTTTCACAACACTGGCCAGACGAGAAGCTGACTGCATGTGAGGTTCTTCACCATTTCTATCACGTGTGAAATCTAAAGTGCAATTCCAATCACCACCTAATATAATAAAGTCCCCATCCTGCTGCTGCTTTAAAAATTGCTCTAGTTTAACAAAAAGTTGAAGTCTATCTGCTCCATTGTTGGGAGCATAGATATTGACAAACAAGAACGAGAGGTTATTAATTTCAGCTCTAACAGCTACCAGTCTTCCTGGCTCTATTTCAGTTTTCATCAGAATTGTAACTTTAAGAGCAGGAGAACAGAGCACAGCCACACCAGCACTAAGATTAGTCCCATGACTAAGTACTCTCTCCCCTTCCCACCACAAACCCCAATCAGCTTCATTGTTAAAATGGCTGTGGGTCTCTTGCAAAAAAACTATACTCTGATTCATTATCCTTATGAGTTCTATCAATAAGTTCCTCTTTTTCTGATCCCTCAATCCATGTATGTTTAAGGATCCCACCCTCAAGATTTCCACAAAGAAGAGAGAGAGAAAGAGGAAAACATAAAGAAAGAAAAAGGAGTTTTTAAACATCATGATTATTTAGATTTCCCCCTTGCTTTACCTGATTTTCTACCTGATCTTATGGCAGTTAAGTGCTTCTTAAGACAAAAGCGCTTCTGCTGTGACAGTTCCTCATAGTTACTTGTTCTCCTAACCACCATAACAGAAGAAACAAACTTTTCAATATCTGGAAAAAAATCGCTTATCTCAACACCATGCAGCTTTTCCTTTAGTTTGGTCAAGAAAATAATTTATTTGATCTAGAGTGTATAAATCCTTATCAACCATTTTTGCAACATCAGGCCATTGCTCATCATCATCTCTTAAACCATCGTCAGTGCACTGTGACAAATCCTCCATTTCATCAACCATATTTTCCTCTGAACCACCTGCCTCTCCTATAACAATACCCTCACACACATATTCAGTATCACTTTGAACATCTTTGTCAATAGCAGTACTGCCTCTAGGTTTTTCCACATCGCCAATATTAACATTAAGCTCACTCACCTCTTGCTGCCCTTTCACTTCATCTGTAACTCCTTTGGCCTGCTCTTGAGATCTCAGTGTTTCTGTGTCTCGGCTCTAGATGTGGATGCTTGTTGTTCATTTTTATGTGGGCATGTGAAGCGCTTATGGCCCAAATCTCTGCATTCAAAACATCTCATGATGTCTGTACCTCGCACTCCCAGCATGCACCAGAGAGAGAGAGAGAGGGGGGGGGGGGTGTTAAAGATGGAAAGGACAGCCAAAGGGTTTATCACACCATCCTGACTAGTGTCTGCATCAAGAGTCACATGAAAAGAGAAATAATGACTAAAGAAGGACGGAGAAAAGCTAAAGGGGAAGGTTAAGACAGCCCGGGCAATGCTATAAACCACTGTCACCTTCTATCTTTTGATAGTTTCACATTAATATTGAATTTAATTTAATTCAAAACACTTGTAATATACCAAAGGGGAGATGTGCAGGTTGCAGCTAAATTTTTCCTAACCTGCACTCGCCTTACTGCTATCTTTAGCTTTTTTATATTTGCAGTGGTTACTTTGAGCAATGTTAATATCACAGTCTTCTGAAGCATGAAAAAAATGTAAGCTGCGCTCAAAGGGCCCTTTGAAATGGCATCATTTTAGGTGAAGGAAATGGTTATAGCCTGAGGCACTCACTTTACAAGAGTATTCATTGTTAGCCTCCTGTGAATGGGAATATACTACGGCTTTACAGCGCACTTGATCACTACATTGCTGACTTCTAAGAAAGTTCTTATGAAAGCACACATACGAAAAAGCCTGATGATCATCACAACTACTCACAACCAAATGCCAATAACTGTAATCCTGCCATTTTCAAGACTGAGTTACAGAGTGAAATTATGTGCAAGCAGAGGATCACTAATGGATTTCTTGAAGGAACATACATAGCATAAACAACTGCACTTTTCCTGGTAAAGAGGGAAGTAAACACAGGCTCAGGTTTAAAAATGATGTACATAAGAGTGGTGTTTACCTATCAACTATGACTTGTTCTCAAAGCCTGACCTGACATGAAATAAATGAAATAAACACTCAACAAAACAAATACTATTTTCTAAATCTAGCAGATTCATGGGTGACCATTATCTTACTATTCTGATTCAAATTGAATATGCAAATAAACAATCCAAAAAGAAAATACACAGAGAACTTGCATGTTGTTGTTGTTGCTGTTCTTCACATAGTGGTGACATAACTTTACTGCAG